AGATGAGCTTGCCGGGGCTGAGGCGGAAGTCGGATCCTGTAACTCTTGCAGACACGTTGGCCCCGTGGGCAAGCAGGGCTTTTACCAAGTTCACATTTTGGTTCATGATGGCTATGTGCAGTGCCGTCTGACCTGGATCAGAGAGCCCTCAGTCATGGGGTCTGTCCCTGGGACCCTGCAGGTGGTCCCTCCCATAGCTCCACCTGGTCCTCTTCACCAGGGCAGTGGGGGGAGAATGGTGGCAGTGGGGCATCCTGGATCTGGCAGGGTTCCCATGGGATCCAGCTACTGCCCGCCTCTGCCCACTCTAGGCCTCTCCATTTCAGTGGGTGGTGCTCTAAGGGGGTGCACTGAGGATGCCAAGGAAGAAGGGAGGTGAAGAGGGGAGGAAAGAGTAGGGGGCTCAGATGCCCTCTTGGTTTCCCCGAATTATCCACCGCAAAGCTGACTTGAAAATTCTGCTGGGCACCCCTCCCTCCGTCCCGGGCCCTTGTCCCTCACCTTCAAGTAGCTCAGATGTCATGGGCTCCTTGACCAGCTCCGGCGCGGCCTCCATCAGCACCATGGCGGCCTCCAGGTTGTCATAGAGGGCGGCTATGTGCAGGGCTGTGTCCCCCAGGGCTCCTGGCATTGACAACAAGAGTCACACAGCTTCTCAGGAGCAGGGAAGGGGGACCTTGGAGATCTCAGGGCCCACAGCAGAAGGTCCTGGGCTGCTCCGGGGGAGCTGGCCCAGGAGGAGAGGTGCCCCGCGGGCTCTGCCCCTTACCTTTCTGGTGCACATCATAGGCCTCACTCTCGAGCAGCTTGTTGAGAGTCTGGACATCATTCTCTCTGGCAGCTCGGAGGAGTGGGAACTCCCAGATCCTGCAGGAGAGCGGGCGTATGCCCAGTTGTGGGTCGGGGGTGATGGCTTTGCTCCATCATATACGTCAGCGGCAGTGATTGCCGAGTTCCCTCGCCCAGAGAAGGGGTGCCTCTGGGGCCCCCAGGGACAGAAAGGGCTGCCTGAGCTCTTTTTCTGACCAGTTCGTCAGCCCAGCCAAACCAACTTTTCCCCTTTAAGCTTATGTGGAACCCCAGAGACTGCTTCCCCTTCCCCTGGGTGCTGGGACCAGAGTGTGTGTGTGTGTGTGTGTGTGTGTGTGTGTGTGTGTGTGTGTGAGAGAGAGAGAGTGTGTGTGTGTGTGTCAGTCCTGTGTGTACTGGGTAGGGAAGGCGAAGTTTTAGTTAAATACTCATTCACCTCCTGACCTGTTGACTTCAAGAGCAACCCTGGTTTAGCTTCACTTAAAGTCCTGAGATTACCTTCTGAGATAAGCCTTGTTTTCATGGACTAAGGGTACAAGGCATTCCTCCCTCATGTCTGTGGGGGAGGCCAACATGGAGAGGCTGGCAGGTTTTCTGTCGCGTGACGCTCCCCTTCCGAGCCCTACCTCAGCACAGCCCTCTGACCCTGGCGCTTTCCTCCATCAAACAGCATCTCTGGGGCTCAATCAAAAAGCACCCGTGGACCTTTTTTTCCCCCTGGCTCCTAAATCAGTTTATGGGCTCTTCCAACTTCCTATCTGCTTCTCACTTGTTTTAGGCAAAGAATCATCTTCTCTGACTTTCGAGTTTAAACCTATGACAAACTAAAAGCCTTTTAAAATATCAAAAGTTATCCCCAACTAAGAGCCATGGGGTCCCTTTTATTTACTCTTCTTTCTTGGCCCAGAGCCACCGGGTCTTTCTACAGGAGCGAATGGAGTAACACGGTTTATCAGAGATGGCCAGCTGCGTGCACAGGAGCTCATACACGGAAGGACTGGCAGCAGCGGGAATTCCGCCCCAAGAGCAGGGGGCGGGAGGGGGACCAGGAGAGCAAGGATGGCGCCCGCTCCCACGTCATGCCACACAGGCGGCCACCGGCCCTGTCATTTCAGCATCTCTCTCCCTTCAGTCCCTACCTCCTCATTCCTATCGACCCTCCTTAATCCACGTCCTCATTCTCTAGGCCAGGATTAGCAAAACGTTCTCCTAACTAGCTTCCCTCCAGCCGATTTACCCCCAATCCATTCTTCTTGATGCTGCCAAGATACTCTCTCTAAAGGGCAGAAGCAACCACAGTTTATAAAAATCCAACGGGCTCTTAAATGCCCAAGGAAAAGAAACTCAGAAGCCTTCTTCAGCCTTTGTGCAACGACTTTTCCACGCTCTCTTCCTCCCAGTCATTCCTCACACTCAGCACTTCGGCCTCACTGCCCCAGGGTTTACCATTCTTCCCATACCTGTGCTAAAACTCTCCCTCCACCTGGAATCCAGCCCCCCCACCCCGCCCGATTCCCTCTCTGTTCTGTGCTGCCCATGCCTGGGAATATGCCCCACGTGTGGCAGACGCTCACTACCACCACCTGTAGAATCAATGAATTGTAGCAATGCCAGAAGGCGGTTTGGCTTTCCTGTCCCTCCTCATTCTCTCCATCAGCCATCCCCCTGAGCCAACCCTAGGCAAACTTATAATCTAAGTAAAAAATAGTATGCTTGGTATGCACACACAGCTGCAAAACAAGTTTGCTGTGCTCCCCGCACCCCCACCATAACCACCACCATTACCCCTATCGTCGCTACCCCCAGCACCCCCACCCTCACCACCCCGACCATCACCATCATCACCCCCACCATCTCCACTACCTTTTCCAACAATTTGTCCAAACCTTTCCTTTATAGATATTCTAGAGCAAGCACTATTCCCCATCACACGCGCGTGCACACGCACACATACACATACACACACACACACACACACACACACACCCAGGATGTTTTCCACCCTCTCCTCTGGCCTTGCTTTCACTTCAGCATTTTCCCTGTGTGCTGTGCTTAGTATTTGTCTCTTCCTCTCCACTAGGGGTCCTTACACCAGGGGTCCCTGAAGGCAGATAGCTGCCACTTTCTCACCTTTGTATCCTTTCTCTGCCCTCCTCCAACTAGCTTCTAGTTTTGTGCCTCATTTTGACTAAAAGCTAATGGTAAAGCTGGAAATGAGCCCCAGGGGGCTTCTGACCCAAGTGCAGAGTTCTGCTCCCTGCTTCCTAAGACATGAATGGGGAGGCGAGGCAGTGGCAGGCCCAGAGCTATCCCTCCTGGTCCCCACACACCTGTGACGCCCGCACGTGTCCCTCACAAACCTCCATTCACCACGTATTCTGTTTCTTGTCTCTCCTGACCGCCCTGGTGGTCTGGGAAGGACAGGGAGCTACTCTTTGAACGGGGCTTACCAGATTTACCAACTACAAACATGAGGATGCTCAGTTAGAGGTTACTTTTAGATAAACAACAAATAGTTTTTTAATACAAGTATGTCCCTTGCAATACTTGGAACATACTTATACTATAACAACGTATTTGTTGTTTATCAGAAATTCAGATTTAACCCAATGTCTTTTATTTTATCTGGACACCCCAATCAGATCACACTCTGAGTGAAGAACCAGCTTATGACACAAACCAGTGAGGTTTACAGAGACATGGCCTCTTCTGGGTGGCCAACTCCAGTATCCAACAAAGAGGGAGGACAATGTGTGAACAAGTGGGTCCAGGGAAGCAAGCAAAGCCATCACTTGCAATAGCACCGCAGGGCCACAAGGGGGCAGATGAGAAAGCCCTTGAGGCCATTCTTGGCAGTGAGGCAGATCCTCAGAACACCTATCTTTGGTCCCCCTAAAAAAAGGCACAAGAGCAGACCCCTCCAAAGATTCTTGTGTCTGGGGAATAAGTAGTTTCTTCCAAAGCAACCCAGCACAGAGGTTGAAATCTGGAGCAAAATCTAGACATCTTCACCAGACATCTCCCTGGCCAGGAAGACCATTGACAAAGGTCTTCCGATTTTAATGGCTAAATTACATGCACTCCCTTCCGGGGGAGAGTTTCACTTTGCTTAGTAGAATACGAACGTTACTACCAGAATCTCTTATTGACAAACAGTGGGTTAGAGCAGTGATGCTGCACCGGGGGGGATTCCTGCCGCCTCCCAGGGAGTTGGCAATGTCTGCAGACGGTCTGGGATGTCGTGGTTGTTGGAGAGGGGGTGCTACTGGCATCGATTAGTTAGAGAGCAGGGATACTGCTCAGCTTCTGACAAAGGGCAGCCTCCCCGTCACAGAGAACTCTCTGCCCAACGTGCCGAAAGTGCCAAGGCAGAGAAACCCTGACCTCGAGGTATCATCATTCATAATCAATTTTTAAAGAAAGGATTTTTCACGTGAAAAAGAATGAGCAACTCCCTCTGCATGTTTTCTTACAAATCATTAAAAACTCAACTAGAAGGGAACCAAAAAGGTGAAGCCTTTGAAGCAACCGCTGATTAAGTATTTAATAAAAGAATGTAATAGATTATAGAGCAGATAACAACATGAAAGGTGATTTCAGGATTTAGAATGTCTTGTTTTGCTGGACAACTACAAAACTGAACCGTCTGTTCAATGCTGGACTGGTGGAAACCCTGCTATAAGGGTTCCTGGCATGACCTAGCACACTTTGTATAGCATGAACAAAGCACTGATCTTCCCTGGGGGACACTCTGGACCCTGGTGCAGGATCTGTCGCTTTCCCTCTGTCCCCGTTCCCTCCACTTCGTCCTCTCCACCTCCATTCTTGTGGATGTGTACGCGTCTGTGTGTGCACTCATGTGTGTGGACGTGCACCTGTGTGTGCAGCGTGTACAGGCCAAATTCATGTTTCGTTGCTGGGAAACAAGGCAGGATCAAGAGTGTCTAGAGGAGAATTCCAGTCAGCCTTTAGAGCTTGAAAGCCCCTAGGAACCTCGTCTAATCTGTTCACGTAACAGATGGAGAAAGAGACCTGCGGTCCCAAGGTGATTTGTCCAGACATGTTGGAGGAAGCGCGGGGCGCTCATTGGCCATTTCTCTGTCCCTATTCTCTGTGTGAATCGCGGGGGGCTGTATCCACACGCGTGGAACCCACTGGTGTCTCCACACTCTCCTCTCAGAGGAGCGTGCTCGCTGGGCAGGGGAGGGCACACACCATCTGGAAGCTCAGAGCCTGGTTCCCAGGTGGATACAGTTCTAACAGGAGAAAGTTCACAGCCCCTCCGACTCACTGGAGTTGGCTTTTTACTGTGGTGTTTTTCTAAATCACAGCGGTCCCGTGTTTTAAGTGTGTTTTCAGCTTCCAAAGCAGCATCTCACAAGCACGTTTGTGCTTTACAACCCCATGACACAGGCTGAAAATTCTCTCATTTTTCTACAAAGGAAACCGAGGCCGTCTAGTTAGTTCATTGCCAGAAGATCAGACAGAGTTAAAGGCAGAATGCTTGGCCAGGAACCTAGCCTCAGGCTCTCACCACTAAATTATGTGGTTCTTCTAGTTGTGTGGCTCTTCCCAATTTTTCTGGGGTTGGGGTTGCTGGCGAGGGTGGGGAGGGGTGCAGCTGGAGCAGTGACCACAGATGAAGGATAGAGCAGCTGTGAGTGGAGGAGGCACTGGCCACTTGGGGTGACCTCCCTCCAGCTCAAGTTCTTGGCTATGGGATGAGGAAGCCAAAGGTTGGGGAAGTGGCTGATTCCAGACTTGGAACTGGTCACCTTTCCAAGTGCCAGAGGTGTATCCTGCACATAGGAGACATAAGCGCCTGCAAGTTGCACACGTGTGCGTGTAATTCACTGAAGCCTGGAGTCTCCACGTGCTGCAGAGTCCCAGCGCTTGCCTTCAACAGACACAGCGGTTCACACATGTCATGACACAGGGATCTATCTAAACAGAAGAGATACGCTAGTGTTCCCTGCCTTCTGCCAGCTAGAGGGAGGGTGACCGTGCTAGCAAGGGGGTCGGGGGAGGGTCAGATGAGGCAGCCTCTGGAAGCCGCCCCGCATGTCCCACACCAGCCACAATCAGAGCCCGCAGTGTCCTCCTCTAGGCTCCCATGATGCTTGTTCACAGCCTTCTTAGAACACTCGCCAGGCTCACTCTCAACCCAAGCTGACACCCATTGGTGCGTTTTGCCCTTGAGAATGTATGTGTCTTGAAAGCAGAGGATGTGCTATGTTCGTTTCTGCAAACCCAGCGGAGTGTTTTATGCTCAATGGTTTGTACATTGCATCTCAGGAAATAAGACAATTCAATGCCAAGAGAGAGACGGTGCAGAAGACTGGAGAGCAAGGTGAAAGTTCAACTCAGATCCCAATGGTGTCAATTTAAGCAGAGGGGGTGACAACTAAGACCCAAAGAAGTCTACCCGAGAGGGAAATGCTGGGTTCCCCGTATTCCTGGAGAGACCTGAACGCCTTCCCTTCTCATTGGACCATGCTCCACCCACTGGAGTGCCCCCAACCCCACCCAGAGTCCCCCTCCTGTCCCAGATCCTGGCTTCATCAGGCTCACTCTGGGTCTGCCCCAGTCATGGGGGTAACAGGCCCACAGCTGGTCTGGGGATGATAGGCGATAAGAAGGTGCTGGGCACATTGGTTGCTTCCTTCCGTCACTCCCTCGTCCCCTGGCCACACTGTCCTTATGTACATGGTCAGCTTATGTAGTCTAGTCACCCACAAATCTTCCCTGAGGCTGGTGGATGGCACAGCCTTGGACACTCTCCTTCCTGGCTCTTCCAGGTCCTTCTGGGGAGTACCCACCCAGAGGAGAGTCAATAGTCCAGGCTCCTGGTATCTGGGAAGAAGGGGACCAAGAAAATTGTGCAGTCAGACAGGGGAGATCTGCAAGTGGTGGCGGTGGGGGGGAGTCCTTCAGAGCGGGGACAGCGGGCCTTCCTAGCCCAAGCCCGCAAGAGGACGTCCTGCCAGATGTTCTTAAGAAGAAACGGGGGCAGATAAGACAAAGAGAAGCCGCCCAGGGCCCCAACCCGGGTCCTTGGCTCTGTCTTTGTCACACACAGGCACCCAGGGAGCCTCCGCCGCCGCTGCCAAGCCCCCAGGCCTTTCTGTGCTCCTGCCTGGCTCCCCCCGCCCTGGGGTCCCGAGAGTGGGATGGGGATGAGTGGAACCAGTGATGGCCCAGTCGCCAACAACAGTACCATTCTGTTGCCTCAAGATGTCATCAGCCAAACATGTGCTCAGCCCCCACTCTCCCAGGCCTGGCGGGGAGAGAGGTGGGTGGCTGGTGTGAGAGACCAGAGAAGCCAGCACTCAAAAAAAGGCAGCACGTCCTCAGCCCTGAATCCTTGAGCAAAAGGAGGAAAAAACCACAGGGGCTCCAGGGAGACCCCAGCCTCCCGGTCAGGCTCAGGGAGGCCCCTGCATTTGGAGATGGAGAAGGACCCTCGGATACAAAAACTTTGAACTTTCCCCTATGAATAGACATCGCCCCTGCCTTCTGAAGGGCCCAGGAAGACCCCAAGAGGACTTCCTTCTAGCCTGCCAGTCCTTGGTGAGGAGATCCACGGGGACTGGAGGCGAAACCACCCACGGGGATGGCCTCAAGCTTCCTCGCCACCTCCCAACTCTAAGCCGCCATGGAGGCGGGGGGAGCGGCACGTGAGCTGAGGGACGTTCCCAGAGGCTGGGAGCAGCCAGCGAGGTTTGCTTCGGCCCCAACCTTTAGAGCTTCTCAAGTTCTTCCACCTGCATTCGATGGATTCCAAGCTCATCTGGTATTTTGGCTCCTTGCCCATGCCCCTCTCTCCTAACAGAGGGTAATAAATTCCACGGCTGGATCCCAGCTTCCTTTTCTCCAAAACACACCCCCCATCCCACTGCAAGAGTCTGCCACAGAGAAGGGCCTTGGTCAAAGGCTGATGAGATGAGTGCGCAGGACTGATGATCACATTTTGTCTTCTTTTGTGGTTCCTGGGGTCTGCGGTTCCCCGTTCCCTCTCTGCCTCGTTCATCCATTCATTCATTCCCACACGTGTCTCTGTATGTGCTGTGTGTTTCTGCCGAGACTGTTCTAGGGGCAGGGTGTGGAGATACAAGGCATTGTCCTGCCCCACCAGCACCTCTGGGGTCTGGGTATATGATGCCACCATCCTTCCAAGGCCCAGCAAGGCCCAAGAGGCTTGCACACTCGCTTGCATCTTAAAGATCGCGAACGCCTGTGCTCATACCGGCCCCCTCCGCTTCCACCTGGGGCCCTGGGGAACTAGCCTCACAGGCCAAGACCCGAGGAGCCAGGCCTGGGAGAACAGTCTTCTCAGACGGAGGTGCCCAGCACGCTTGAGACGGGGCAGGGGGCACGAAAGGGAAGAGTGGGGAGAGGCACAGGCCGGCCGGGGGTGCGGGGGGAGCAGGTTGAGGCTTACCTCTTCTGCTGCAGCAGATTCTGCTCATCTCGGCTCTGAGCACGTGACTCTCGTCGCTGCATCCACTTACAGAGCCTTCTCCATGGGCAGAGAGCGAGCCCCCTCTTCTTGGGCAACGACAGCCCCATGGAGCGTAGGACCGGCTCCTTGGGGAGCTGGGGCCAAGGCCAGACCCCGGCTGGACTCAGCCCTGGGGCCACATCGGCAGCCCCTGGGGCCGGCCAGCCCTCTGCCCGCAGAGGTCCCGTCTCTGGCCTTCTTGACTCCGGAGGAGTCTCCCTGAGGTGCACCCTCCAGACCGAGAGGCCTCCGAGTTTGTTCCACTTGGCAGAGCTGGGACTCCCGCCACTGGGCTCCTCCGTCAGGAGCTCCTCCTGGGAGTGAGCAGACACTCCCTCCCTCCTCCCAAATTACCTGAGATTTAAAGAGACAGGCCAGCAGGTCTGCCTGCTGGCTGAGGCCTGGCTTAAGCTCCCTGTCTACCCAAGGTCTCCTGTCTCCAGCCAGGCCAGAGAGACTGGAGAGGCCTCCTTGGACTTTGGGACACTCGGTGACCTTTTATAGAAAGACCTGGAAAGGTCTAGCCTGAGATACTCAAGCCAGTGAGGGAGGATGGGGAGGAGTCAGGAAGCTCACCAAGTCTGAGGGGCCCCAGGGGTGCCCCGGGAGCCCGCTTTTCCCACAGAGCCTATCTGGGCCTCCTCGTCCTGGAGACAGCTCTCCTGGACGCTCCCATTTAATTTCTTGCCCGGCCAAGAGAAGGTACATAAATATGGAAAACACTTAGTCCCCTCGCCAACTGCGGGTCAGCAGCTTTCTGTAAAGGGCCAGAGAGTAAATGTAAATATTTTATGCTTTGCAAGCTGCGCACAGGTCTGCAGAACCTGACACACCTACTTCCTGGTTTGTCTTTTGTAGCCCCTAAAAGATGTAACATCCATTCTGAGCTCACGGGCGAGGGCACAAAATGGCGCTGTGGGCAGGATCTGGCCCCCTGGGCAGAGTTTGCAGACCCCGACTCCAGAGCTCTCAAGGCTTGTTTCCAGCACGACAGAGAAGGATTGGGTTGCCAAATAAAATACAGAATGCTCAATGCAATTTGAATGTCAGGTAAATAACGAAGAAGTTTTTTTTTATATAAATATGCCCCCAAATAATTGCAAATATTTTCTCTGGCAGCTTCTAGTGGACACAGCATTTGTTTACCGCTACTGCCTTCCGGGCCCTTAACGAAGTCTTCCCATGGCAACTCACATCAAACCTGCGAGGCAGGAATTATTATCTGCATCCTACCCATGGGGAAAAAAAAACCCTCAAAGCTCAAAGTGGTCAGGAAAATCACCCAAGGTCTTCTAGCCGATTAGGAGCGAAGGCCAGATTCAGGCCCACTTCCCTGAGGCCAAGCCCCCTGTCTCTCTGTCCTGCCACACTCCCTCCATCCAGCTGGCAAAGAGCGTCCCTGAGAGGTGACCGAAAGGACTGGTATGGTGAGGACCTTTGGGAGCACAGCCCACCCTGGTCCCACGGTCCCACAGCACAGCTCTCTGCCCAGAGGGAGCTGGGAGCCCCGGGAAGATCACTGTCCCGTCCAGGAGGAGCGGTGGGGGCCCTGGCTTCTGCCCTGCCCACTGCAAGCCGGGGACCAGCTGGCCTCAGGTGTGGGTGGCTGGGGTGTAGAGTCACAGGTATGTATGTGTCCCTCCCAAGCCTCAGAGTCTTTTTTCTCCACCTGTCTCTGCTTCAGAGACCCGGAGGACACAGCCGGGAGTGAGTATGTGCGCACACCTGTGCGATCGCTGTGTGCAGGTGTGCAGGGGAGAAGGGAAGTTCCGTGCAGGGGTGGGGTGTCTCTGGGGGCGGGGTGGAGGAGGGTCACCCTCGAATCAAAAGAGAAAGCAGTGCTTCTGTTCCTGCTGTTGGGGCTGAGGCCAGGCCTTAGATCCTGAACAAACAGCGAGCTTCAATTAGCTGCTTTCCCCACCCGCCCAGGGTCAGCAGGTCCGTGCTGGGTGGGGGGAAGGCGCTGCACCCAAACCTTGAACCCAGGACCTTTGTGCCCATTAAGCCTGTTTGCCTGCCTGCTGACCCACCCACCTCTCTGTCCTGCTGGGCTCCAGGCAGAGACCCCAGCTCAGGCCCTGGGGGGTGGGGGGAGGGGAGGATGAGGCACAGAGGCGTTTGTCCTGTGGGGGAGGGAAGCTCCAGGAGTTGTTCAGACTTTCCTTTCTCCACGGCCTCCACCTGGTGCTACATTGGCAGGGTCACCGGGGCAGCTGGGAAACTGAGAACAAACTCAAAATGGCTGTGGAGGGCCGTGGCGCAGCCCCAGCTGGGAGCCCAGGAGCTGCTGGACGCTAACTTCTCTGTTTCAGGCACGGTTCCTCCACCTGGACCCAGTGGATGTTCGGGAAGGAATAATTCTTTAGGGAGGGACGTCCTCCGCTGTGGGGTACTCAGCTCTGACGACTCACTGGGAGACGGCAGTGTCGCCCTCTGCTCAGCTGTGACCATCTGCAGTGTTGTTTAGACATTGCCAAATCCCTCTCCCTAAAGAACAACTGATTCAGGGCAGAAAAGTGTATGCACACGTGCTTTTCCTGGTTTCTCCCTCTGTCCTATGTCTTTCTGTGGTTCCCCCTGTGTTTCCTCTCTCGCTGCTTCTGTCTCTGCAATTGTATCTGCTCCCTTGGTCTTAGTCTCTGTGCTAGCGTGGGTGTTCATGTGCTTGTATGTGTGTGTGTATGTGTGTGCGTGCATGTGTGTGTGACTGGTGCGTGACATGGTGTGCATGCGCGTGTATGTGACTGTGGTGCATGACGCGGTGTGTGCATGCACGTGTGTGTGACTCGTGTGCGACATGGTGTGTGCGTGCACATATGTGTGTGTGTGCGGTTGTGGTGAATGCCATGGGGCATATGTGCGTGTGTCCGTGACTCTGAGTGGTCTCTCTGTGGAACCCTGGGTTTCTTCTTCCTCTTTCCCTCCATCTCGGCCCCTGTGTTTGTTTCCCTGTCTGGCTTACTGTGTCACCCCGTCCCTGCTCCCTGTGTCCTCTTGTGGGGACATCTCCTTTGCTGGGTTGTCATGTGCAGGGCTGGTTGGACCCGCCAAGAGGCTGCAAGGATGCAGACGGCCTGGGGTGGCGAGGTCAAACCACCGCTCACTCTGCTTGGAGTTTGCTCCAGTCACTGGGTTCACAAGCCCTTGTGTGCCAGCTCAGAAAGCCTGCATGGCAGCAGCTGGCGGGTCAGCAGGTGAACACAGACACACACACGCACGCACACGTCGCACACACGTCACAAGCACGGCCCAGGGCTCCACCAGGATGGTGCTCTGCTAGGATGCCTAGCTGGGAGCCAGGTGAGCCGGGCTCCAAGTGCTGGATCTCTGGCCACCTGAAGGGCAGTTTGCGCTACAAACCCTCCAAGGTCCTTTCCAACTCAAACATCCTGTGATTCTGAAGAAACATGAGTCACATGAGGCTCCAAGTGTATGCAGTCCCCCGGCCTCTGCGGGTCAGGAGGTCTGAGTTGCAGCAAAGCCCTCATGCACTTTTCCCCACTAAGTGGCCCTGCTGCCTGGGCTGCCTTTCTCATTCCAATGCTAACCGTGGCTCCAACCCTTTGCCCTTGTTTCTTACAAGCTTTCCATCCTCACCCCCTAGCCACCTGAGCGCTTGCACCACAGGGGGCATCACAGAGGAGCTGCTCTCTTGAAGAGACCTGGGGAAGGCCTGGCAGCTAGTTCTGCCTTCCCAGATGTGCACGTGCACATCACTGGACGTGTGTTTCCGCAGGGTACCTTTTATGTCAACTGCATCAGTATGTCACAGCAGTGTCGTAGGACGCTTGTTTGTGTGTGCAGTGGTGTCTGTTTTCTGGCATCCTCCTAAGTGCAGATTTTAAAATTCACAGGCAAGGGTCCTCTTGGACCCTTGCCCCTTTGCAGAAGGTGCCCAGAGGGCATACGGCCACAGGGATGTGTGCATCCCGCCTCCCTTTGTCGATTTCCCTCCACTGCCTGCCAGCTCTCCCTGCTCCCGCCCCACCTCTGCACAGAAGATTGATCTGGCCTCGAGAGATGTCACTTGGTTTGCAGGCCTCCCCACCCCCTCAACAATTTTGAGCATCTTGTCCAGGAGGTGACAGGGAAGCGGCGGCGGCTGGTTTGCAGAGGAGCGGGTATGCCTCACAAGGTTTGTTAGTGGCCTGAAGCTGTAAAGGGAGACCTGCCGAGATTTGACCCAACCCTGACTCTCTCCTGAGACCTCTGCAGGTTGGGCGAGGACTCACAGTCCCAGCGTGGCCCCTCTGGAGACAGAGCAGGGTCGGGAGGGTGTCGCAGTCCACAGCCTTTCCTTCCTGGGGCAGAGCTTCTGGTCCTCCTGACCAGGCTTCCCAGAGCCTCTCTTTCCTGTCTCTCTCTCTCTCCCTCTGTCCAGACCCCGAGGCCACCCCCCTTTCCACTGGACTCCTCTACTCTGCTGCCTCCTGCCATCTGCTTTTATTCACCTTACCTGCTCACAGGCGGTGCGCGGCTCGCAGACCAGGAAGCCAACCAGAAATGCGGCTGCTGAAGCGTGCACAGCTCCCAGAGAGCTTTCCAAATGTGCCCCAGTGAGCCTGGCTTCTGGAAGAGGCACAGAGAGAGCAATTGACATGCGATCAGAACAGCGGTGTTCCAGCTCCAGTTCCATCCGAAATCACGGTGGGACCTTGGCCAAGTCACTTACCATTTAGTGTCCTGGTCTGCAAAAATAAAGACTCTTAAGCTCTTGAGATTTCCTGCTCCTATGAACACTCTCTGCTTCCCCAGGCAGGCCCTCTCAACTTCCCCACGCAGAGAGGATGGAGCATAGAAGCGACCCCTTATTGCTTAGGTGAGATCTGTCTGTCTGACCCTAAATCACAAGGGCAGATGTTCCGCGGAGCAGAGAGGAGAGAAGGGAGGCAGGCAGAACACGGGGACATGTGACTTTTGATCATCCTCTGGCCTTCTGCATGACAGGATCCTGTGGTCCTGAGTCGGTAGAGGGTGTAGCCCCCCCACCACCCCACCAGGATTCCCAGGGCTCTGGGCAGCTGGGGACGGGGCTGGGGGCCAGGTGTGTGGTCCTTCTGACCAGGCAGGCACATCTGGCTTCTCTCTCTGCTCCCGTCCGCTCCGAGGAAACAGCCATGGTTTGGGGCTCTAAGGACAGGTTCTAGCCGTTATCTCGAATTAGATCATCGCTATTAAAAACCCAAACCCAAAGACAAAACCCTTTTCCAAAAGCACGTGTTCAAATGGAAACTGCAGCCTTTCCAGCAGCCCTGCAGAGACAGCATTTTACTGGCCATCCTCCCCCATTGTGTCCCCACCTGCACTTCTCAGCCTTTGTCTCCCCACCAAAACAAACTCAGTGA